CACCGCCGCGCTTTAACTTACTGAATATCACATTTTCACAGATATGAGTTGGATGATCCCGAATTGAAAGAAATTCTAAAGATGATCGACGATGCAAAAGAATCAATTGGTAATGGACTGGTTGCTGATTTTATCCCGATATTCCAATATATACCAACAAGCGGTATTCGTGCAGTTAAGAGTATGATGGCGACGTGGCATGGTTTGATTCAACGAAAGGTTACTGCCCACAAAGACAAATTTAACAAAGGTATAATACCTAAACTACATTTAAGCTCAAAACACATTGAAAACGCCATTACTGTTTCATATACACTTCTCCACAGTAGAGGGACTGTGACTTCTTAAATAATTCTCTATCATGCATATTAAACAGGTAGTACCTACATGTATATGCAGGATTTTAAGTTGATTATCATGCTGTTGTTTATATAGGCTCAATTTACAGCAATGGCGACTGTTTTCTTTGCCTTGACGCATTGCTATATGTGTTTCACACGCTTGTTTGACCATATAATGTAATGTATTTGCTAGTCTTGTAACTATATCGCTTTTTTATTGCAGATAATCCTGAAGTACATGATCTTATTGATGACCTACTAAAAATCCAAAACGAAGCCAAGATAGCAGGCGAAGATCAGGCAGATAAATTAACTGACGTCAATCTTCGCCAAACGGTCAGTGATATTTTTGGAGGTAAGTCAATTTACTTAATTTCAATTACATGTTTTTGTTGCTGTAATATTGTTTTAAAATACTGTGATCAATATACTAGAACATTTACTTAAAAAGTGGCATACTCGATATAAACATGTAAAATCTATATTCATCTGCAGCTGGCTTAGACACAACCACAAACACCTTTGATTGGTGCATTGCGTTTCTGGCATGCTACCCGGATGTGCAAACTAAAGTGCAGAATGAGATTGATGACGTCATCGGACTAGATCGTCTGCCATTGTTATCTGATAAGGGCAAATTACCATACTGTGATGCTGTAATCCACGAGGTCATGAGGATTCGCACAGTTGCGCCATTTGCTGCACCTCATAAAACATGTTGTGATACGTCTGTGGGTAGGTATACCAACAAACTATCAATCTTTTAAAATATCATACATTATGTCGATCAGAATATTAGTTACTGGTGAAAGTACAGTGATATAGATATCAACATAACTTAATCATGAAGCGCGGTGGTCGTCGGGCTGCGCATGTGCGACATTTGTGTTGATAAACATTGATTTTCCCCACAATCCAATACGCTCTTCAAATAGAAATCACAAGTATGAGGTTTGACCTGAGCGCGACTTGCACTGATTACCGCCGGTGACTCCTTCGATACCTTCCAATCACCTAAAAATTACCTTATTAAAACTTGGAAACGTCTCAGTTTGTACTCGTCGATCTGCGCAACAGTCAAAGTCGCCATCTTTGTTTATATGAGACCCATATATCTCGCGCATGCGTGGCGCGACGACTACCGCCCTTTAAAACTACCAGTCTACTCGGTGGAGTATACATCTCCAGACGAATGCTGAACTAGAGCATTTACATATCTTGATAATATACGCATATAATAAATACACATGTGACAAACTACTTTCACCGGGTTCTACACTGCACACAATTCTGATGTTCCATAGAGTAAATTGGTAAACTGATGACGCACTTTCACAATGAAACAAGATAACAAGTGTACCATATACACTTCACTTCACTAAAATATCACACAAAATATAATCATACTAAATGCCCCTGAATGACCTTCTACTGACAGGTGGATATAACCTTCCTAAAGACACAATGGTCTTCTTGAATTTGTGGAATGTACATATGAATGACAAACATTGGGACAATCCTGGCGAGTTTCGTCCTGGTAAGAGTGTGGCGTCATTTTTCTCTTACATGAAATGTAAAATTGTACTCATAAGTTGTCATGTAAATAATATGTGACTTGTAGCAATATTTTCAGAAAAACGTTTCTTTGACAGTGATCTATAATCTTTGTTTTAGAACGTTTCTTGGATACAGATGGCAAAGCATTACCCAAACCAGAGAGTTTTCTTCCTTTCTCCGCTGGACGTAGAGTGTGTTTGGGAGAAGTATTGGCTAAATCGGAGATGTTCCTTGTCTTCATCTGCTTATTCCAACATTACACATTCAAAGTGGCTCCTGGCAAAGAGAAGCCTGATTTAAATCCCTGTGTTGATGATTTAATTGTGCGTTGTCGTCCTTATAATGTAGTTGCTCACCCAAGAAAGGGAACCGATTAAGATTTCGTATGTATGTACATCTGAATTTTGGAAATAGTCAAACTGTTTCCAACAAATATCGTCTTCAATGCCTTTGTCAAGAATAATTACTGTAAAATACTGGCTGGAATTAATTTTCGCTTGAAAATTTTTGGTGTTTTGTGTGGAATTTATTTTTACTAATTTTTGACATGTTGAATGTAAAATATAGGAAAAAAAGGTATATTCGCTGAATTTTATTTTCACTGAATCATTCCATCGGTGAAAATGGCGAAAATTAATTCCAAGCGAAAATAAAGTATTTTACAGTATGCTTCATATTAGTTTTGTTATCGCGACCGACATGGTCAATTGATAAAATCAAGACATTGTTGACCTTAGCTTATGAAATGGTATTGGTGAAGTGTACTTTGAATATTCAGCAGATCAACATATTAAAGCGGGAGGGTCGACACCTGCGCACGCGCGGCAATTGAGACGAAAACAACAAGCGACGAAAACAACACACGCTAAAAACGCAAACACTTATGGGTAGACGCTTGTTTGTAAACAATGACACGCTATGGCCAACTGACGCATGCGCAGGTGACGACTCCCCCGCTTTAATAACTACAAGTATTTGAGAATGGAGTACTTATTTTTCAGCTTATTAATGTCTTATTTCGCCCAAGCTATTAAACCAAGGATTTTCCAGAGAATGACTGGCCTCGAAATATATTATACAAATAAATATAATCAGCTTGTGGTTAAATACAATAAAACTAATGATATTAGATGACATGATGGTCTCAGGTGGCATCAATCATGTCGTAAATACCAGAGTGCCACAGAAACGGTAGAAACCTGTTCCTAACAGTCGTACACAATGTTTGATCTCCCGATTATATGTTATTTATGAACATTCTTATTACAAAATATCGAGACAAACATGCTAACCAGATACCAGTTATATTTTCTCTGTTTTTTTTATTGGTTATTATTGCCGATGACCTGGTTCTGTTTAGTGGTAGTGTTATAGGCTTATAGCGCCTTTTAAAACATTACACATTATTGCAATATGATGAAATTACCAATCATTAAAAATAAGACGAAAGTTTACAAGGAACGGGGTAAAATCTGTGCAACAGAAAAGTGTTTTTTTTAAAGGAGCATGTTTACCTGTTGTGTCTCCCTACAATAGTTTTGGAATTATGTTTGCAAGTACTGGCAAATAGCACAGAGCACAGAAATATCTGAACTATCATGCCCTTTCTAAATTTAATGAGGTATCAGTTAAAATCGTTATGTTTATTTTCGCAAGAAAACACGGGAAGACATTCTCAGCCTGTTAGAATTGAAAAGAATTTTTTTATGTAAATAACTCTATGGAAGACGAATGCCATTCTTGTCATTTGTCATCTGTCCCACCTTCCACGAATTACGTGTCCAGTCCCGTCATACTATTACATTTATCGAGCTCATTAGTTTTGCCAAAGTCGCCGCCACTATCCATAACACAGTTAAATTTGTTTACTTTGCTTTTAAGACACTAGACACGCCTTTAAGACACTTGATTCTACTTATTGTACTTTTGGGCCAGTGGCTTGTAGTATAAAATAAACATATTATTACATCTGTGTTTTCTGACAGTGCAAAAGTAATTTTTTTGTATGTGTTAAACTATTTTTTTTAATTAGATTTTTTTTTGTAAATATGAAAGCTGTCAAACTTAAAGATTTGCACTAATTACTGTGTTTGTGTGATAACTACAATTGACATAACGTTATGAGGTTTCTTTTATGACCAGCATATACCAAATTATAAAAATCAGAATAAATTTTTTTGAAACAATATAACTCGCCATTTTTATCACTTAGAAGGCCCTGTTTCTGGGGTAACACGGTTCTTTATTTTATTTCATCCTTATGTTCAAAGATGTAATTTCTGCTATTTTAACATGGTAAGCCACCACAAGTATTACCAAAATTAGATCTCTCTGGCTAACTGTATGTAAGGGTCTGTATGCCATATTATTGTGTATTTTTGTGTATTAGTAATGTTGACCAGTAAGGATCCCAGTTTCAATGCTCCATGGAGAGAATTGTTTTGCAATATCGTTTAGTAAAATTGGGCATGTTGACTTAGAAAAATATACTAATTCGTTTTAATATTGTTTTTTTGGAACAGAATATGATTCCACCACAAGAAATAGTGCTCCAGAGTTTCGAAATTTTGATTAGTCACGTGATGCCACGGACATCTTCTTTTTAAGAAAACTCTAAACACTTCATTTATCATATTCAACAATGTCATATCTAGGACACGTATATCTGTTTGAAAACGGGTCAAGGTATTCTGTCACGTGTTGTTTATATACGACTTCAGCATGAATTTACAGTCATTACATAAATAACAACCATAGATTTACACAGTATAGTTTATTTAGTGAACATTTTTTTAGCTCCCGAAAAATCGTACCTCAAAACACAAGATACTTTGTTCAAACCAGTTACGAGTGCTGATAAGACATTGGGATATTGGAAAATGTCCACGGATTAAATATAAATCATACATTTTTCCAAATTGCACGCATTTATGGCGAAATATGTTAATTTATATTCGTTGTGATACCATACTTCTAGTTATGTCAATCTGCGCACATGTGAAGCGCCCTCGCGCAGACAAAATTCGCAGTCTCTCCGCCTGAGAGCGCCCATGTATCAACATGGATTTTTGAGTAAACAAACAACGTATTTCGCATACCTTGTATGAGGGTCTTGTATCGCTAATGAATACGTCGCAGGGGAACCGTGCCCATATCGAGCACGCCTTATGTGACCACTGAGCGTTTCATTTTCAATGTGGAATTGGTCATGTGTCCCCAGCACGCAAACAATCATGAAGTGATGTTTCGTGGAATTCTTCCTTTTTCATTTCCCCATTTTAGTTTGTTGGAATCCGTAAGCCGGAATGCTTTCATAAAAAATAAACGTAATTTGATAACTCTGCGTTTAAAACATCTTTTCCAATCTTTATAAAAGAAAGTTTTACAAATACAAACAGGACAATGAAAATGGCCAATATCCTTCACACGCCCCCCCCCCCCCATGTTATATTACAAACATCGTTGTGTTAGGTTTTCTCATACCAAACTGTTTTTTTAATTATTTAGCAATTGATCACTATCGGTAAATTTACGTCACTATGTATTTCACTTGCATTATGCCAGTCCTGTGATTGGTCACTTTCCAACCAAAATATTGAATAATTATAACAGTTCATAAATCTTTCCCTTTTATAAAATACAACTTTTAATACATCTATTTAGTAAGAATAACTTGCCAATGAGTTACATATGTTTAATGACTGTTATGAAATATGATAATTTAAATATAATCAGGATATATTTTGTTGCATTTTAAAGCGGGAGGGTGGTCACCTGCGCACGCTCGGGAATTGAGTCCCAAGCGACGATAACAACACACGCTAAAAACGCAAATGCGCATGGGTCTGCTGGGTAGACGCTTGTTTGTAAACAATGACACGCTATGGCCATGAAGCCATGGTGAAGAACATTAACAAAAAATAAGGCATGGAAGATCAAGTCACAGAACATCATCCGTAATGACGATATTAAGGTTAGCGTTTGTTCTCACGCGAAAAAGCGTAGTTTCAACAGAGGCACAAACTTCTCTCAGTACCCTGATTTGAGAATATTTATCTTGTTTAAAATTGTATAATTTATATCCAATGTATGATATTGAGTACTAAGTCTGTCGATTACAGTTCGGAACTGCTCAATGCGAAGGTTTCACCTTTGTTGCCGTTCACTATTATGAGAATAATCGTTGGGTATGAATTATAATTAGTGCAATGTGCTGAATTATTGTGAATTAAATCGTGAATGAAAGTGATGTTTGTACAATTTGTAAATATCAAGTATTTGTAATTTTTTTAAAATAAAGTTGCCGAATGGTTCGAAAAACGAAGAAAGTCATAGCACGCACCCTCATTTTTGTGTGTAATAAGAATTTTATTCCAATGTGTGTGATGCGCGTTTGCCCATACTTGTAAGCCATGGGTGAT